GTTGCCTAGACCACGGCCTTGCCCAACACAAGTTATAAATTCGGGCACCACCGGGAATCGAACCCGAGACCCCAGGATTACAAGGCCAGCGTTCTAACCGCTAGACCACCGTGGCGGTATATGGGAAACACATTAAAATAATTAAGCCATTAGACAGTGGATCCCTGTATTATAATTATAAATCTTATTTTTCCATGGTACTTCTGTTTGTGACTCAAATTATATGTTTACATTTGTGGATGTCGGATCGTACGGTAAAGCATCGGACTCAACTATTTATAAAGAAAGTGAACTATTTACGAAAATAGAAACAAAATCACTAAATATCCCTCCGCCACAGGAAATTACCGTTATGGGTACCTCTCGACCGGTAAACTATTCGTTTATTGGCGATGAAGCATTTGGTGGTCTCTCTGAACGCGTATATATGTACGTATACAACGTATTTATAATAAATATGTGTATCAAAATACAAAAATCAACAAGGGGAAGTTAGTAGCTGCGTCTGCGCGGGATAAACGGTGACCGGACGCAGCGAGACACGGCCACTAACCGCAGCGTGTGGACCGGTCGGGCGACTACCGCAGCGTGTGGCCCGGTCGACGAACGTCGTGTCTGCGCTGAGTCTATTAAAACTGCATACAAAATACAGATCGCAGCTTGTGGCAGTCACCGGTAGAGGTGGCTAGTGGCTCCGTTTGCGTCCGGCCTAAATAGCTTTTAAGAATTCAGTCCGCACCGCAAAGTAAACACTGAGCTTCACCATTACAAACATAAACTGGCCAATGTAGGGACACGAACAGGATTTGTAACCATGGATATTTCTGCTCATTTGCGAATCAGATTGTTTCGGCTGATTTGTAGTCATTAAATGTTCGTTAAACTGAGACCTCCGCGTGCGCGCGCACGCACTCACACGACCTTCGCTTGTTCTCCTACGTAGGCCTAGGACACGGCAGGTGGTGCTGATGTACGGGACGGTCTATTGTTTCTCTCCTGTGGGCCCTGACACAGTACGTGAATGTGTCAACAAGCCACGTAACACGGTCCGCGTGTTGCCCAAGCACGCATAAATTGAAAAACCTGTCATTTGTTATTTCAATTTAGTTTTTAGGTTTTACTACTGTTCACTGCTAACTCTGATCCTGGTTCGGGGCCATGAGCTGTATTTGGGACGTTTCGGAGATCCTTACTGTGTGTGTATAAACCAGGGACTCATTTTTGGAGTTCCAAAAGGACTCTGTCCTCCGCTCTGAAGCATCGCGGACCGTACACAGCTTTTATTAACAACATTATCTTTCTGATCAAAATTGTGTACGTATATATCACCTCATTGGCTTCATCATTCGAAATAATTTACATTTTTATCATCTGCATAGTCTGCGTCACTGAAAAGGCGTCATTAAATAAACTATAAATAATTAAACTACACCACCAATTCAGGGAAAGTATTACAGAACGCTAGATTATCGACTGTGCTGTAATAATCACAACTAGATTACTCAACTCACCGTCAGATGTCGAGCGTGTTAAGTCTCCCATTCAACACAAGCGAGTACAGCTGTCTTGTGGGTTGCATCTCCGAGCAGTTGGGTAGAAGTTTACGGACGTTTTAGGGGCTGTTACTGTTTCAATTCCCCTAATGATGGAGGCAGTAAATACCTCTGAAACGTCGGCAAAATTCCACCAGATAATACGGAGCAACAACACAGAAGACAGCCATCTTAAAGAATCTCACTTTATTTATAGACGTAACCGGCTTTCCTACAATTTACACACTCCGGGCGTCTGAGTAAACCCATGATAAAAGTAAATGTAAAGCAGCCCGATACACGCCATGCACGCGCTTGAGGGGAGAGACGGTATAGCTCCTGATAACTCGGCAACTCGGGAGGCTGTCAGAGGTCACCCAAGGGCAACCGGCCCCGCCGAGGCCGTCCCCAAAAGACGGCCAAGTCGGCACAACGAGTGGTTAGACTACTCGGCTACACTGATTGATGTTTTCCGTGCTTTTCCTCAGTTGTAAGGCGAATTGCCAGGGTATAATTCAATAGGGGCACGGCCCGCCACCCCCGATCACGGAGGACCTCAGCTGAAGTGCCCCACCCGCTCTGGGTTCAAACCCCAGAGAACCAACCAAATTCTTTTGGACAAGTTTTAGTTACAAGGCTCTGTTTACCAATTCCAGCAATGCGTTTCGTACGCAGGAACGGCGTTGCCTAGCAACGGACGATGTCTTGCGCCTGCGCAGGACTCCGCCCTTAGTTAGCTTTCTGATTGGTTGGCTTCAGAGGCTTGAAGACATCGTTTTCTTGCTGGCAATAATTTCTGTAATGGCAACTTTTCTCCAGGATGTCAAGAGACGAATGATGTGTAATTTCCCGTGTAATTCCGTGAGAATATTTCGCTGTGATTTCACCGCAGACCTTGAACCAGAACTTCTGCTCGTTTATACTTCGTGAGTGAACTACACATGGGCTAGGCCAGGGTGGTCCAACTTTTTTCCTGTCTCGGGCCAGAATTGGGCCCTAGGGCCAAGAAACCCCTACAGTCACTAATACTTGTTCAGAAATGACAAATTACCTTTTCGTATGCTGAAATATAAATTTTATTTAAATGTGCAGGAACTATATTATGTATTTGAGTCAAAGGACATGGTTTGAGTTTTGACAAAATCAATTATTAATTATCAATACTTCGTTGTCTCAGGGAGAGCCAGGAACTTGTGTAGTTTTCTTTGTTACTCTCTCCTAACGGATACCTGGCTGTAACTGAGACACTTACCTCAGAAGGAACATCATTCTAAAAAAATTAAAACCATCTTAGATTTAATTCGAAATATCAGTGGACACGTGTTCTTAACTGCTTTGCGTTTAAAAATAACACACCCAGTAATTACTATTTGGGAACCTGGGTCGGCCCTGCGAAGTAATCGTAGTAATTAGGAAGCAGCTCGCTCTAATTGGGTTTGATATCCCGCGTTTTTCTTGCAGAGACTTGTGTCGTTTTTACTCTACCATTCACAGCGTTCCACGCAGTTGTGTAGCTTCAGAACTTTCACGATAAATCGTTAATTTCCCGTGGATTTTATAGGCCTCGGTGGATTAGTGGTTCGCGGGTTCGATCAATGGATTTTTAAGGGTGATTAGAATCCGTAGGACAACTTCCTTCGGGAGGGATGTAAGTATGATCCCATTTCGTAGATTTACGGCACGTAAAAGAACCTTACGAGCATGAATGAGATTGTTTAAGCAAAATTCAGCGGCCATTTCTCATCCAAGTCTCTCGTGATTCATTGCTAGATGGCTCTGGCAGTCAAATCAGAGTAGAAATTGTGGTGGTCACTCACTACTCATAAATGCACGCTTCAAAGACTAGGAAAACATCCGAACGGAGGCGGCCAAGACTCATTACTCGGTTAAGCTACTAATAGAATAGATAAATGTATGTATCAAGAAGAGATTAAGAGAATACACATTGATAAATTTTTGAGAACATAACCTGTACCTGTCGGTTAGAAATTCAATTTTTTTTTGGGGGGGGGCAGACACGGACGAAAAATGAACACTATAAAGTGGATGATTTTGTTGTGATGAGTCCCATTGCACTGATAATGGAGGCAGCAGGCTCCTCAGAAACGTCGATAAACGTCTGTCAGGTTATGAGGTGAAATATCCCAGAAGACAACGCGAAAGCTTGTAAGATAAAAGAATGAATTATGAAGGTTTGCGATTTAGTACAACTTGGAAATATTTAAGACACGCTAATGGTTTCAGGTGTTATATTTCATTTCTGTAACTGGTAATCCGGTGCTTTCTCCGGGCAAATATTGTAAGATGATAATAAATGAAGTAATTTTGACGATGATAAGTACTTGGGATGTTTCTCGACATGACAGAGTCGACACCAAAGGCTACTTGAACCTTCGTAGAAGTTGTAAGGAACAAATAAACTCGACAACTTTCAGGATGTGCGATGGAACCGCTCGCAGGCATCGGCCAATTCAAGCGATTTGTTTCGCACGCCGAGTTACACTTCTAGAAAGCGCAGGACCGTGGCCATTGTTGCTGTAACTTCCCGCTTGGGAGGAATTCGGCGCTAGAATCGCTGGCTCGTGAAGGCGGGAGACGTGAGGCATTTGTTTGCTTATTGTTAAGTCATAATGATACCGTAACAACACTGTCATAGTGTGGAGCATTAGTCAAAATGAAGACATAAGAATAAACACAAATGCAAATAAAAATATTAGATTTTATCATTCCTAAAAACCGAACAAGTTTAATCCATGATTTTAAAAGTGTGGTCCACGGACCCCACATGTCCGCGTGAGATTCTTTTGTGTATGGCAACGTAATGTTGAAATAAGCCTACCAAAATAGTGAAACTGCTTATTTAGTGTAAACAAATATTGTATAAATGCGAAAGGATTTTACGTCACCCATATTTATTATTATTTACCTCCGTTGCGTCGCGTATTAATCTGTTTATGCATTAGAAGGTGTCTAGTAGCTATAATGCGGTGGACATAGATCGCTTTATGCATGAAAATCCTTTACAGTCGCCTAAGAAACCGAGCAAATAGGAGAGACAAAAGATTTGATGTGGGTGATAAATTGGATTCCATTTGGAAGGAAGTGGTCGTGACCTATTTTGATACGTAATCCCAGGATTGCGTGGAGGGACTGAGGAAAAAATGGACACTTAGCGTAGAAGATTTTCGGGTCAAAGTTCGATCAGGGACACTCATAAAAAGAAGTAGGGGTTCAGACCAGTGCATCGCAGTGTTTTGGTTATTTCACGACGCTGTATCAACTACCGAGCTTTAGCGATGTTAAATGTCTTGATGCAGGAAGAATTGGCCATTCGCTAGTCGGGGAGTCGGTAAATCCAGTCGCTGTAGTAACCTGTCCTTCTTGAAGAATGTCGGAAAGAAAACATCTTTATTTTTAAAATATTTGTAGTAAAATCAAGCGATGCAGAACATTATTTAAACTGGTCTAAATGGGCTCCACGCCAATGCCCTCGGAAGTATAATGGCGATGTCACGGAACCTTCAACGCTTCCGTGGGTCCATTCCACCCGCACCCATAATGCATCGGGCCGCCCGACAATTGGTGTTGTTGAAGCGCGCAGTTGGAGTAGGGGCCAACAGAGTGCAGCAGGAGCTACGGCCGATGGCAGAGTGTGGCAGAGTGCTCGCTGGAGGTCAGTTGCTATTTGCACGTCGAGCGAGTGCCATGTTGCTGTTTGCCATCCTGTGGTCAACGCTCTACTGTACTGAAGGTAGGCTTTCGGTGTGTTCACTGACGATATTAGCCTTTCCCTGCATAATGTAAAACATACGTAGTAGTTTATTAATTAATGTTATGTACGCCGAGCGGAGTCAATTGTTTCTTGATTCGTAATTCTCTTTGCTTTGTGTAATCAAGGATCTTACACACATGTGTCGCTAGAATTTGTGTTGTGTTGTCTGCCACTCTTTTATTCTCATATTTCAAATGAGCGTTTAGGCAATGCTAGTTGCTTCATACCTTAATAAATGCACAGTCATTAACCGCCTGTCAACAATGGCTGAACGGTGTCACGCGTGACCGAACAATGACTGTTTTTTGTTGTTGTTGCGAATTTAAGATCGTCGCATACAAACGAGTCTAGTGGGAAGAGAGATTTACGAGACCATTGAGGAGTTGACGTAATATAGCAGCAGGCAACATTTCCTGACTCCGAAGAGGTTAATGATTTCAAAATCTGCGTCATTCAACTGATATCGTTAAATAAATAACGGTCACCTCAAGTGTTATGAATTATCTGATTGGACGGGAAATGTAGCTTAATAATTTCGTGGTCCTACTGAGTGGCCCATATTGTTGAATTATAATGTATCATTGTCGTTGTAGTAACGGGTGTTACACCAAACTACTGCCTCGTGTTTTGAAGGAAGTGAAACCTGTTTAATCTACGAAACTTGGTCTTTGTTTACTAACAAATCTGTCGTTTAGTAATATTCGAGAATCGCAAAGAAATCGTGGAAAGTTTTATAAGTTTATTTGCAACGTCGATGGATGTTTGAGGAATGTCCTTGTACCGTCTTCGTTTTCTGACGTCACGCAGAAAGATGTATGCTTCATAATATACTTGTATTTTAATAATATGCCAAACAACGTTGGAGTTTACAAATTTATTCTTCATATTGAGTGCTTTGGTAGTGACGGAAATTAATTGTGTAGAAGAGGGGAGACATTTGGTGGTTTAAAATTACATAGTTTAACATTTCGAAGAAATTAGTTTAAAATGTGGGAGGGGGGGCGAAGTCATTTACGTAAAAAAAACACATCTTATGGATTGCAGAGTGATAATTTTGGATTTTATTGTTACGGAAATGACCCACTACGATGTAATAGTCCTTTGAAAACTTCTGACATGTAATTAATATGAATTTTTATAAAAAAAATTTCCGGCGCTGCGAAACCTGTATGGACAAGCGAGCCGCCATTTTGAAGCTCGATCTTTTGCAGAATTCTTCTGCACCGATTTCGTAAATGGCAGAAATTTAAACGCTTTGCTTACGATAACTGATCGAATGGTATCATGTCGTAACACAAGCCACTGGATTTATCCGGAAACTTGGTTTTGAACATTCAGGCCCAAAGTATTCGGAACTGGACCCAAAGACTTCTGGGTTGTACTTCTGTGTGTAGTCTGGTTAAAGTTTACCGACGTTTCAGAGGTACTTGCTGTCTCCATCATCAGGCTGCACTGATGATGGAGACAGCAGACGTCGCCTCTCTGCCCTCAACCTGAACAGTTACCCTGACGACTCCATAGTCACGGAAGCAGATTTTGAAAATTATAGGATATTTTGTTTAGCAACAAAAATTCGAAGCAAAATGCGTCCATAAATAGTGAAACACTACTTATCAAGAGATCCGGTGAAGGAATTGAAGGGCACTGAGTTATTTTTATCACAGCAGAAACATTATCACTCTCCAGGTCGTAAACTTGCGTTATTTCTGCATTGTGTCACTACCGTGGTTGATTTTCTGTTTTCAAGGTCACGTTACTTTAATGTTCATCAGCCCCGTCTAGTCTCGAGTAAAGGCGGCGATCTTGATATTTTGACCTATTTGTATGAGGGTGTGTGAACTCGTATGAGCTGGCTGTTGTGAACACTAACAAATCTGCAATTCTTATAAAATGCAAAGTAACTGTTGACCAATTGAGCCACCATCAGATTCTACTTCATGTTGCTGTGCAATCAAAAATTTGAGCAAATCACGTGTTTTTTTTTTTGCAAATTTAAATCAAATTCTTAATACCAGATATCATCAGAATATAATCATCTACGAGGTGCGATCGGAAAGTTTCAAGACTGCGCCTATAAAAACCCGTGCACTTATCTCAGGTATTAAATTCATCCATCACCCTCGAAGTAGTTCCCCTGGGAGTGAACACAACGATCCCAGCGCCGCTGCCAAGCCTGGAAGCATCCCTGGAAATCTTTCTTTGTCAGCCTGTCAAGCACCATCTGCGATTCTGCCTGAATCTCTTCTATCGTCTCAAATCTCCATCCCTTTAGCTGAATTTTCATCTTTGGGAAGAGGAAGAAGTCACACAGAGCTAAAT